GAACAATTGAATTTTGAACTTGATTGTACATGCCATATTGGTTAAAAATATCAGTCACACACTCGGAGAAAGATTAAAAAAATTTCTACAACAGATTAACATATACTTTTGTGCTACATGCTCTAACCATTTTGTTTTCCATCATAAAAGCAACTAGAAAAAATTTTGGCAGCTAAATTTGTTGTTCAAGTCACCAATGTTGCCACCTGAGTATACAAGGTTTGGCTTTTCTGGCAAGTTATAGCATTTGTTAAACAGCTTTTCAAGCCTAAATCAAATTGAGGAAAACATTTCCATTAAATGTTGCTCATCCAGTTATCTTCCTTTAACTCCCATGAGTGACCAAGAGAGAATTTCTCCTTACAATATCAATCCAATATCAAGCAGACAAGTGGTGAGAATAAAGAAAGATATCAGTTAGAGGATTATACATTGATCCAAAACCAATTCTCCAAACGAACATCACAAGAACTATACGGGAGACAGTAAGGAGACTAACTAATGAGATCTTGGGAGTTAAAGTATTAAGTTGCTTGAGTATGAAGCCTTCAGAAATCTTCAAAATAAATGCAGGTCATATAATGTGTTTTTCGCAGTTTAATATATGTCATGTAATATTGCACCAAGAGTCTTGTGACCAAAATTTTATCTTTGCCAACCATTTCATTTTGTAAGGTTGCTAATTTGTGAGTTTGGAGCCTTGTATTTTCCACATGGGAGTAGTGTTCAAAAATACTTTTCTAATGAGATGGCAGTAAACACCTTGTTTATATTTCACCAATGTAATAGATACTTTTGTCTTTACCTTCCTTAATGCAGTGAAAAGAGACGAGAAGAAAGAAGATCAAGGAAGGCACAGCAAGCTGCTGATGTCAATGCAATACTTTGCAACTCAGTTAAGATGATTCGGGAAAAGTTGGCAGTGACTGATGGTATATAATGCACACATTGCTTAATGATGGCAGAATTGGTTTTTTGTCATTCTCAGCATGATTTTGATTGCACCAGACAAGATTTACACTACAACTACAAATATTTACAGTGTACTACAGTAACTGTGGTACATGTAGTTCATTATGAATGAGCTATTGGCTGTTGGGTGTGACATGTGCCACTACGTGATGGTGAAGTTTAGTTCTGACTTCCCTTTATTATCAACTGAATCTTAAAAACTCTTCCTGTTTCCTGATATTTGCATGCCAATTTAGTTGATAGAAATTAGCTCTGAAATGATTTTGCTATTTAGCTGAGCAACTCTATGGGATATTTAAAAACAAATTTTTTTTATCATTATTTCACAGATTCTTCAAAAGAAAGAACCGAGCAGAAGAAATCAGAATCAAATGGATATGTGTATGATTTTTATTATGCCAATGATAATCTTGGTCAGCTTGGTGATATGTGAGTGTTTTGTTAATCATTTTCCAAAATCTGTATACTTCATAACATATATACCTACAACTAGATTTGCGTACACAAAGGATGGAGTATGCTTTAGTTTCTCATTAAATCTCAATAGTCTTTGGAAAGGGCTGTTAAATTATAATATTATTATAGGTCTTCAGGACTGCAATTTTTTTTGGACAGGCACAAGGAAGCTCTTTCTCAGGCTTAACTCTTTAACCCCAGAGAGTGACTAACATCAAAATTCTCCTTACATTGTTACTGGTGGATCAAACATTAGGGTCCTAGGAATAAAAGAAATGATCAATATCTGAAGGGGCTCTTGATTGTTAAACAAATTCTCCTTGTCAGTACCATGGAAATTTACAGAGAACAGTAAGGAGAAAATGCATACTGAACTTGGGATGTAAATGAATGGATACTAGGTTCTCATCCAAACACATGAAAACTTGAACTGCTTACTTCAAGAAATTAACCCTTTCACTCCCATGAATGACCAAGACAGTTTATTGGAATCTCCTTACAATATCAATACAATATCAACCAGATAAGTGATGAGAATAAAGAAATAATATCAATTTGGGGATAATTAGTTGATCCAATACTAAATTCTCTGAACTAACATTAGAATGGTTACACATATAGCTCCCATCCATTGAAATTATAACCACTTTGTTTGTCATAAACAACAGTGCCATAGGCAAGAACTAGTTCGTAGCTTTCAGATGAATGGTCACACACTATGGTTTCATCGACAGACAGATGAAGGAGAGGGAACCACCTAATGCAACATATTTTAGCGACGTGTAAAAGTTCTGCTCGTTAGCTTTCATTCTAGGGGATTGTATGACATGAAAGTATTTAAAAAACTCCTCATCTGAGTATTCGTCACTCAAATTACGAGTTTCATTCACATGTTTATCATCTCATTATGTATATAAGTTTGTAAAATTTTCCAGACAGACGACAGAATTGCTTTCCTTTTGTATCTGGCTCACAATTATCAAACAAATATTTTTCTCTTAGAGTTGAAGTTTTGCCTTTCGATGCTGACCTTGTTCATGAAAGTCTTGATGAAGATTTTGGTGAAATATATGACGATGAAGATGATTCTAATGGTTGGTAGATAGTATTTTAAGTTTTACCTAGGTTCTTTTTCACATTAAACGAGAAGACTTTCTGAGTTTGTGGAGAAGGGGAAAAAAAAGAGAAAAGAAGTAAAGAAACTGTTGATGCTCTTACATGCAAGGGTGGTAACAATTCTGTTGCTTAGGAAGGATCAGATCATATCCTGGAATAACTTCCCTGCTTTTCGACGGGCACTTTTTTTTTTTTTGGAAAAAAATTTCTTCGTTTTTAAAGAACAATTCATCTTGTTTGATTACCTCTTCAACCTCCCCTTCGCCTTCCATCTTGTTCCCCTAATTTTGCCACACTTATTAAGTTCTTGTGTTCACACCAAACTACCAGGATCCATTTCACTGATGCTTTAAATCGTTTTTTCAGACGAAGGAAACTGGCGAAATGATTATCCTGACGAAGATGATCAATGGTCAGATTCATCCCAGGACAAAAGATATTACGAAGATTACGGATTTAATTCTGGTAAGTTCATTTACAAGAATCTCCTGTAAAGTATCTTGATAACAAAATAATTTTTGGGGCAGGAATTGTTGCAAGCCACCAGTAATTGAAATTTGTTTAAAAAACAGTAAGCAATGATTGCAGAGAAACAAGAAGCTTTTTGTGTAACATGGGAAAGGACGTTATGAATACTGCTCAAGAAACTTATAACTTATGTCAAGAGATTTTAAAAATGTATTTTTTACTCATAGATGAAGAATATCGAAGGTATGCTTTCGACGAAGATCGGTCGGACGAAGATCGGTCTAACGAAGAGGACGACTAAACCCGGTGTAGCTCACATTAGCAACTTACATCGCTGTTACACCCAACGGAAAGACCGTGCGCGACATGCAACTATTTGCATCCTAGTATGAATGCTGTGGAAAGCGTTCTTGGATAAAGTGATGAGAGGTAAAAATATCGGAACAGATTTTTGCAAAGAGGGCTTAGCAAAGTTATTTCCATCTCAATCAGGGGTAGAGTTACGATAGGTGAGTAGAATGGATAGCCTAAGGAAAAAATGATCGGCCGACACGGAAATATGAACTGAGTTAATGAAAATTAGTTGTTCGGTTGCATCCCGCTTGAATTGCTTCAGAGCTAGCTTTTGTTTCAATACCAATTGCACGCCAAACAAAATGTAAATGCAATGATATATTCGCCATTGAACTGAAGTTATTTTGGTTTAACATTTGTGACAGAATTTCCAAGTTGTATTGTCCGAACTTGAAATAAATGTCAGAGGCTTTGAGTCAATTTTTTCTTAGAATTGTGCCGCGGGTTAAAGTCTTCCTGCCAATCAGACAAAAGTTGCAAACAGTGCAGGTTCCTACTAACTTTGTCCATTGTAAATAGTGTGTTTGTTCGAAAATGTAGCCGTATCAGAGACTGCCTTTGGAATGATGGTTCAAAAACTTACTACAAAGTTTTCGTAACCGACGCACTCTGTATACGACTTCTAGCAACGCAAAAAAGACTTTTTGGCGACGTAGAGGCAATCGAATTGGCTCTTACCGACTTTTAGGCACGACTCACCTCCCTCATGCCTCTCGGAGCGAGAAAAAAGAGAAACGAGATTGCGCAAATCAAGGTGAGCCGAAGAGGCTTCGTCATTTATTCCGTAACACTCATGAAAGCATCCTCGATTGAACATTACCAAATAACCAGATAGAACGAACTTACTTTGCACCCGTATCGATCCCGATCGAGCTCAAATCACGCGATACATTTTGCATCACAACCAAAGTTTCCCATCAGCACAAAACTGACCCATCACTTCTCACTTGACTCAGATGACGAATTCCGCACAGGTTGTCAAACTCAACAACAGTCGTTTTAAGACCGGTTCTCACTAGGACAATCGGACTTCGCGATAAACATTGATACAAACCATTTTCTGGTCAACTGAAATCTTTTATTGATGTTTATTATCGTTTTTCAAACATTCCAGTTAAGATATATAAACGGCTAACAACAAGAGTTTACATCAGAATTGAGGATTGCTTAAATCGTCTCGAAACAAAAATTATTCACTCGTATTACAAAACATTCGCTCCAGAAATAAGCAACAAAATTTGTTCATATAATTGCAATATAAAAAGTGAAAAATGTCTTTCACTAAATAAGACTGGTTTAGAAATGAAAGCAGATCACTTCAACAATACAAGGCAATTTTATTTACAAAATTTCAGATTAAATACTTGAGTACATTGCTTGTTCTTTAATCCTTTAACTCCCATGGGTGACCAAGACAGAATTTCTCCTTACAATATCAATCAGATAAGTGATGAGAATAAAGAAAAATGTCAATTTGAGGATAATTAGTTGATCCAATACCAAATTCTCTGAACTAACAATATAAGAATAGTATTGTTGACAGTAAGAAGGATTACAAGTTTGACGTGGGAGTCAAAGGGTTAAACAGTAAGCCAATTTCTCCGTGTTAATCACTACTATCACATAAGATTTTCCAAGCTTTTCCTTTTTTTCTTTTCATTCTTTCTTTTTTTTTTAATTTTTATCAGTTTTTCTATATCCTTCGTTTAACAACGTTTTGACGAGAGGGATTTTTAAGCAGTCATTGAAGCGGGAAACATCTTTTTCCAGGAGCGACAATTGACCTTCTGCAATTTTTCGTTCACTCCTGGGTTGCCTCTCTCTCCTTTGCTGAGCCTCCTTTGGATATTCCTGACGGAATAGTGATTGAAACAGAGTTAACGCTATTAACTCTTAAGACCTCCAATGCGGCTTCGATCAAGTCTTTTCTTAGACTGGACCAGCGTTCTCCGCAAATGTCCTGCTTTACGGGCATCTGTACATCTTATGTCTGAGCGACATCGCAGTTACAGTTTTTCTGACAATAGGTGGTTGAACTCACGGTCGATGAACCGTTAATTGGCTCAACACTCACATGACAGTCGCCATTTTCAGTTTCCACCTCTGTCTTTTCTGTCGTCGTCTTCTCATATTCTTGATGTTTGATCTTTTTTCGGTTTGATCTCTCATATTCCTTGGGTGACGTTTGAGGTGTTTTCACTTTATATGTTGTATCAAAAGACGATAGGTCTGTTCTGTTATCACGATGCAGAGAGATTGGGAGAAACCGCCGACCCCAACGAATTTCATCTGCTAAGAATGAAGTCTTTGCCTGGGTAACCATGCTCGTTGATTCCACAACGCCCTCTAAGACAGCAATGAATTCCATACGGGAATTCGCAAGCTCTTGCGGCCCAAGCTCGTACAGCGGACTGCGCTCGTCAATGACATGCACTACTGTCAAGGGAAGTAACAGAAACGGTTTGATGAGTTCGCCGACCTCGCTCCCATGCTCAGTTGTGATGGGAAGTTCCGTTTGGGAGAATAAAATTTCCTCCCCAGTCTTTGTGGTCCGAAAGCAAAAGCAGTGAAGAGATATTGCCACATCTAACAATTGGCTCTTGCGCGCGTCGCCGACCCGAAACATCAACGACAAGAGTCCATCGTATGGCGCCACGACTGCGTGCTTCGAGAAAATGACCGTTTGGCCCCTCGGACGAGGTCGGGAAAGTTTGGCGAAAACGAGGCCAAGCAGTGACGTAGACAAAAGAAAGCCGGTGAGAGACTGGAGCAGAAGACAAACCACGGCCTCAGGGCATTGTGGGGTTATCTGCGGTAAAAGGAAAAAATTAATGATGAACACTTTTTTTTGCATCCGCTGAAAAATTCAAATAAGATAGAAGAGGGTCAGCTTGTCTAATCTCGGTTAGTAAGAACCACAACTACAAGCTTGACTTCGGTGGAAAAATAAAACCAGTGTTTAGTTTATTGCTCCCAGCTAATCATTATGTCGATACAGTTTAAAATTCGGCGAAATAGGACTGGAGTTAAAAATCTTTATTTATTGCCAGTCAGTTGGTTAGCAATAGAAAATTGAGTTCACACATGTTCCGTCGTATTTCGCTACGTATGAAGCATTCAAGTTAGCCAAATTTCCATTTCTTGGTGTCAGTCGATCCGACCCCATTGATGTGTTCGGAGAGTGTTGTGACCAGCATGTCGACAAAAAGTGTTGTGATCAGCATCCTCTCCCGATTTCTTATAGGAAAAGGTTAGACGCGCAAAACTAAGCTTCTCTGACTTTTCAGAGACGTCCGTGAACGGAACGGTCTAAGAAGACGAAATTTCCTCATTACAGTACTGGAAAAACTGCTCCACCTAAATTGTCAATAGGCTAGCTAGGCTTGTGTTTAACAGAGTCTGCTTAGGCAGTAAGTATACAAGTTAGTTAAAGAGTGAAATTTCAGCAAAAGTTTGACGGCTGAGAGCGTTTAACTTTTGAAGTTGGAAATCAATTTACCTCGCGAAATTTCCCGGCTCACAACAGCGAGAGTAACAACAACAAAAAAAAACCGCAGCACGTCTTACCCTTAAAAAAAACAGTTTCTCCTGCCGCTTTATATTAGCCCTCGATTGTGTGCAATACTAGTAAACGCGTCAAGTAACTTACCAAGAGCCTCAGAAGGCTAATTTTAACGCAATTACCTAAGTTCTCACAATAACTAGGTAACTTATATGCTCCTTAGCAAGGAAACAAAGTCTTCATTAAACTGTGCTCCAATAGTGAGGCAAATTTATTGGTTGAAAGAGGCTTTTTTGTCAAAGCAATATTTTACATTGCTGAGAATCGTCACGATAAGAAGTTATTGACGTCATCACGCATCTTTGTATTTCAATATAGAGACACTAGCCTCTTTTATTTTACTCAGTATATTCGTAATTGATATGACTTTTGTTCTCTAGAAAGTTAATCAGTCAGATTTGTCTCTTAACACCAAATAAAGTTAAATGTCTTCGTCAGAGGATACCATCCACCCTTTTTGATTGCTAAAAGTACCTCAAGCCGGTCAGTATTGATTTGTGCATAGAATCACAATATACGCATTTCTTATCTAAAAGCTTTCACACTTCTTCCAATATCTCTATGTCCTAGCCACAACAAGTAAACCGGTAATTTTTTTTTTAAAGTTAGCTCTGAACAGTCTTTAGCTTTCAAAATTCTAATCAATCACAGGCGACATGAAAAAGTAAAAACTCTTTAAATATCAAGTCTTCCTTTATTTTTCCTAATTTCCACTAATTTAGAGTTTACCGAAAAATTATCTTGTCCTTCATCAACGAGAGACGTGGTTTTGTCTCGGAATGTTTCTCTCGACAACCAGTATCAAGTTACACCACTCATTAGAAACGTCATTTTGATTGCTTATCCAATATTCCATAGAGCTCCCAAGCTTGTATGAAGTCAACAAAAGCTGATCATCATTAGTCAGGAGTCACGTCGCGTATTATATAAAAGGATCTCAAACCTGCTGTACTCTTTTATCAGTCAGTTTTTCACTATGATTAGTTGGAGTCCTGTAATAAAACCTGTTTGCTTAGTTTTACGACCTAAAAAACAATTTCGAGAGTCGCGTGATGAATTTAACATTTGTCTAATAAAGAGCATTTTAGGGGTTTTTTAGATTTAAAAGAACCTAGGCAAGGTGTTCTAAACTTTCTGAATGATGAGTCAGTCATTTCTTCTTCCGTTTTCTATTACCGCAACAGATAGTATTTTTCAATTCCGACGCTTACCCTTCGCTCACCTTTGCAGTACTGATTAATCATTGAAATTGACATAAGTGTTGCAGCCTCAGAATTTTGATGTGCCTTTAGAGGACAGCGAAACTGAAAAAAAGTACACAAAAGAAGAAAATAATACCTGTCGTCCACCATAACCAATGGTAGTTTGAGTTTCCACTGAGAACAAGAAAGCCGATGTCCAAGAATCTACATTGTCCACACAAACGGTCCCATTATCGTAGTGCAAACGGAGCCAGAAAATCGCAAACCAGGCTGTGCCGAAAAACGACCAGCTGAAGATGAAACCAGCTGAGTAAATCGCTATGACCCATCGCCACTTAGCGTCAATTATAGATGTGAAGAAATCTGCCAAAAAGCGTTCTTTCTTCAGCGGAACTCTGTAGGGCCGCAAATTTACTTTGCCATTTTTGTGTAACAAGCGATGGTGATGTGGTCTTGAACGAGAACTACTCCTCTCTGACGAAGATAAATCTGACGAGATAGGATTGGAAGTTATGTTAATTCGAGTATCTTTGGTTTTGCCTGACATATTTTCAAAGGTAGAACTGTCTTGTGGATGCTCAATGCTGTGATGCGCTCGCTCAGCGAACAGCTGAAACAGATCAGAGTTTATGTGCATCACATTGGATATAAATGTCATGAAATCCTGAGGTTTAGCCAATATTTAACCGATATTGTACATTTTTAAAAATAGTGGATTTCTGACGAGTAAAGGCTAAGTGGTCTTTCGTGAGACAGGAACATGTTAAATTTGGTTAACAAACAACTTGCTTTAGTTAGGACAACATTTTATGACAAAATTTAATTGTATTTGTTTTCAAATCATCAGTGTCGATTATTAATTTAACGGAAAGTAGGTTGTTATGTTCAAATAAGTTCCCAACTTCCTTACAAAGGTTTAGCATAAATTTATGATGAAATTGGACCGTCCTTCGGAGTTTTTGCATTTTTTACCCCTTTTGCGTATTAAGGAATTTTACATGGGAAATGACAGTTTTCTCTGACGTTAATTGAAGATAACACAAAGCACAGTCTGCATGATGCAGATTCCAGCAACATTCAATTAAATTATTTACACGACATGTTTGTTTGATTCACGACAACAATCACATTTATTCTTTGTTAAAACCTTTAACTCTCAGGATCCGACTTTCAATTTTCCAGATAGCCATTCTAAATTTCTTTATAAATTAGAAAAAAGAAGCTTGGTATTCATCTAGATGAGGTCTCTTTGCTCCATATAAGCTGTTGTGTAATCCTCTGTTCAATTCTTATAAGGAGGCTAAATGAGTCAGAAATGTCAGCCGATACTAAACACCTTGAAAAACGCCCGCGACAAGTTGTGGAGTAAGCTGGCAGACAAAAAACTGTAGTAAGCACCTTCATCAGTGGCCATTAATGAATAATAGAGCAATACGACAAATCAGACAACTAAGTTCAGGGTTCTCAGTCTTGCTGGTTCAAAAAGAAAAAAGCTGAATTCATCGTGATTCAAGTTCTCTAGAGGTCGTCTCTCCATGTTGAGACAAGTTAGAACTGAACATCACAGATCTAAAGACGAAATGTTTAACCTACTCAGTCACCATAAGCATCGTCCTTATGGCTAATTGCGAAATTCGCCGATTTTAAGCCCACAACAGGCCTCCACAAAATACTGGACCAACATTGTAGGCCAATATTAGTGAGGTGATGGTGCTCATGCGTTTTGTTTTTTTTTTTGCTGGTGATTTCAGTGAAGTTATAACCACGCGAGTCAGCTTTGCAGCAAACACTTCTAAAAACAAATTGCAGGTTCTGATAATTAAAAGGGATTCTCGAAGAGCATGCACAGAATTTATCTTGAGATTGGAACACGGAATACCATTTTGAAATCCTGGGATTATTCCTTGAAGAGACTTGGAGTCCACTCGTAAGGAAATATTAAAACCTACCATGCCAAATAATTAACACTCTAGTTCATTAATTGCTATACAAAAATGCAGTATTGCAAAATACCTTGGAAAATCAGTGCACAGCTACAGAGGGCTATATCGGTTTTTTTAGAGGGAATTTCAAGTGACGGTACGTGCGTGTTATCAAGAAGTTTACTTTTCATTGAAAGTAGAAATTCTGGAACATACCATTCGAAAGTAATCTTTTTTCACGCTTCGAGAGCTTCCAAGAGCAAAGCTGGACTGCGTTCCAGGACTCCATTTCACTTTTCTCTGCAAGCACCATAAGATAAAGTGGCTATGTACTTTGAACTTCATAATAAAAGAGCGTATTGCATATTGCTCATTGTGATCGTTTTTGACACTGCCTTTTTCGTCCTTAATTAAAAGATTATTTTTATCATTGCGAGTCTCCTGTGTACAATTTAGTTTTCCACTACTCAACCGCACAGATATATTCAATGATAAAAGCTTTCTTCAGATGAAACAAAACTTCAGAGAACACATAACATATTTTTAATTTCACTATATAATATATCCGTCCTTTATTGTGGTCATCACCTTGAATCACCGAAAGCACAGATTAATATACTTATTACCGTTTTCAACGCAGAAAGTGAGTAGAACGAACCGCATTCGAAACTGCCAAATTTTTGTAGTTAGAACTATCTCTCTAGTTATCTTCATTAGTTTGTTTTTATTTCCTCTTTCGCAAACACCAATGACAAATTATCACTATATTGTGGCATATTTGAAAATTTTAGTTCAAGTTTAACTTAAGACTGAAAAATTAAGAAAACAATTCTTTCTCCAACCGAATCGGACTAGTTGAAGCACTCATGTAACCTGCCCACCTACCATGTAATCATGGATTTAATAAGATGTCCACTACAAAAACTTGATTTAAACTTCCCTGCTCATGAATCGAAAATCGCAAATATTTCTCCCTTATATTGCTTTGCACGCTACCTTTTGTTGATTTTATCATATCCTGTATGATTCAACGAACGTAATGGAATTGCTATCGAATTGACCCAAAACATATTTTTGACAAAACGCAGACAAAACATGACAATTTGCGGATGCCGAGATGACCAAATTATGTAAAGCAGAAAATTTTTTAAAGAGGCAAAAAATAATCCTTATACCGCAAAACAACAAAAAAACAACAATGGTTTCAGAACCACACGAAATACACACTTTTTAAAGAATTCAGTCAATGATTTAAAAAATTGTAATTCCAAGTTATGTTTGTGTTTTACATGCAAACAAGGCTAAGCACGATTAACCAGCCGCTGTTCAGAAAACGAGCCTGCGCTCGCTCCCTTACCAGCCCCCACCCAACTTCAATGGAGGATGGAAGACCTAATCGACCCTGATATGAGAAAACAGCAGAACACGAGCAGAAGTTGACTAAGTGTACATGTGAAGTATCAAGTAACGTAGATTACAAGGGTTTGAAAGGAAATTTTATCTGACATAGATAAACCACTAATTAAACTTGGCTAAAATCGCGCTATCAGGAGTAAACGCTAAGATTAAACACAATCAAGAGAAATGATGACGCAAATGCCGTATCTAAATGCTGTATTCCACTTACAAGGGTTGTGATTGCTAAATCTCCCATTCAAACCTTCATAATTATGATGCACTGAAAAAACTAAAAAGCATCGCGACTTGATCACTCGCCTTTTCCCGTTTTTTTCGGTTCTTTGTATTTAGAGTTCTGATTGACTTCTTTAGTTATTTTCCTCTGATTGACTTTTTTGATTGCTTTGTCATGGATCCACCACGACCGAATCAATCGACCAGCGCTCTATTTCATGATCCTCAGGGTCTGCTTGTTCAACTGAAATCTTGGAAAACGTTAATAGATGCTCTTTTATCCTTTGACTCATAAGAGTGACTAATATCTAATTTCTCCTCACAAATCATCCTCTAATCACGTATAAAGGTCACGAGAATGACCGAGGACGTAGTCTTGTACCCAGACCTTCCACTAACACACGTTGGTTACATTTCAGTTACGCTCTTGATTGTTAAACAAATTCTCCTTATCAAAACCTTAAAAAATGTGTAGCGAACAGTACGGAGAATATGTATACTAACTTTAGTGTGTTAGGGGTTAAATAACTCGTATTTTTTAGTTTTTTTTTAAAAAAATAACTTTATGTTAGCGTATAGAGTGGTATGTTGCTCGCGCCAATCAGATCGCCGCATTACGGAACATCTCGCATTAATCAGATTGCCGCATTAGGGTATGTATCTCGCACCAATCATATCATAGCATTTGAATATCTTGCACCAATCACAGTGTTTGGGTATTATTTTCTTGTAAATGATGTCATGGATCATGGGGCTGTGCACAAAGAATGACATTAACCAGAAATTTTGGGCTCATTTGATAAGTGTAATGGTTTCTGGCCTTCTCGAGAGCCTCGTCGATTAAGGTCGAGATGTATCGTAATATGAAAGGTACGCATTTAAATTTTTAAGGTAAAAAGTGTTTTTTCCTCTCCTTTACTCGCAACACACACGCCAAACAACTTACATTCTATCACGTACCAAGAAAACAACGTCCAAAGTCCAATCAGAACATACTTAATTATTGCACTACATAAATATTAGGCAATTTTTCACGTGCTTGAATTATATTCTACCAATCAAATTTCATTGAGCCACATTGGACTTTGCTCTATCACGTGTCATTTTCTTGTAAAGAACCCGCATTTTATCATGTATTCTAACTGCATTTTCCAACCCCACTCAAAAAAAATTCACATGGAACTAAATGCTACTGATATTGAGTTTTCCACGTAATTCTCCCGCGTTTGACTTTTCCCACGAATTAAAGTCGCTTTAAGCTACCTTGGTTTTAACTCAATTGCATGTTAATTCCTTGTAAAACTAGACCCTGTGAGCAGGGTAA